GCAATCGACTCGTTTATGACGTACAGCGCTGTGATTGGCCAGTTCCAACTTAACCAACCAATCAGAGGGCTAAACGCAGTAACGTTCCGATGGCGTAAACTTATGATTCGAAAAGTAATAATTATTTAAAAAACAACACTATATTGTTACTTGATGCCTTTGACGGCTCAAAGTGACAGCACATTTTCAACGTAACATCCATTTTTCCCCTAAAATGCTGCAAGCGTAGTGTGGTCGTTGCGGACAAAGCGCAATAAGGTACCGCGTGTCAGATATGGAGATAGAACCGACTAGTTTTTATTAACTAAGAGGCTAACATTGTCTACTAAAAGAGGCAGTGTTTGACAGTGGTACTTCTATAATGTCTTTTTTATAATACAATTCATATATATAATATGTATATGCTATAACATAACAAATCATATCAGCACTTAATTCTCCAACATAATGTCGCAAGTATGACGGGGTAAGTATCCCCATATATTTCACTAGCTTTTATTACCTACAGGGTGTGAAGGCTTTAGGTTTTGAGTTAGGAACACGCTGTTGTTTATAACCTAGTAGGGTTGCCATGCCTTTATTTCAATTTAATTTGTTTATACGATGGTGCCGAAAATATTTCGTTTAATATTCAAACTAGAAATAAAATATCTATTACGTTTTATATTTTTGTACTTACCCATTTTCTAATGATAGCTATTGTATTTTTACATGTGTCAATCAATTGATGAGAATATCAATATCCAACACCCTTTAAGTATAATAAAAGTCAAGGCTTTTAAATAACAACGTGACCTAAGTCTATTTTCGAAAAACGTTACAATTTCATAATGACAGTAATTTGTCCTCATTCACTCAAACCTAGCGCCAGAAATTAACTCAACCGAGCAGTTCTCAATTACTAAAATGAGTCTTTATTGTTCCTGAGACTTTGTCATAGTATCGTCGGGTATTAGGAGGGCTAGTAGCAACCCTGACTCGTAATTCCTAAGAACTTTCCGTTTTACAATACTAGAGTTTGCACTTAGCGTTCCCCGTTCCTCTCCTGTCGACTCGAGCCATCGTATCGGGCTCGTGACTCGACAAGCCCGACTTAAATGGAGCAGCCTGTATTTATTTTATCTTTATTGTTCCTATTTCAAATGAAAATAATATTTTTCCCGCTCGCTTTATTTCTTAGAGAATTGTATTGTACTAGTATTTTCCATGGAACAGCAAATTTAATTGGTCGCTTGCTTTCTGTTTTCAAAATTAATGTTTATTTGCCGTTTTCGAATGTTTATTAGATTCCTTTTTTAAAAATCTGCTGAGAATTGTTTCGTGTACAATTTGAAACTCTCGCAGCTTTATTTCTAATTAAACGTTGCCGCGATAATATTAAACTTGAAAGAATATTAGCATGACAAACTCGTAGTACTTGTTCGACAAAGTTTACGTTGAATCGCTCTTGTCACTCAGTCCACTAACGAGCTAAGTTTTCAAGACGTGCCCTAACTAATACCTAAGAACTATCCTAGAACTAGCTATCATTTGTACCAAGTACAAGTCTGCACACTTAAAACTGAAATGTAAAAAGTTTTATTGTTATTTATAGAGTAAACTTAATACATTAGAACTGTACATATTAGCCCACTTAGCTTGTTTGAAATTCTCAACATGTTATTTATTTATTTATCTTATATCACAAAGGTAGCCATCTTAAATGTTATGTGTTTCTATTTTGGTAAATTCCATTTAAAAATAATGTTCCTTTTAGAATTTGGGTAATTCATATCAAAAATCTACAACTCTGTTGTATTGTGTATTTTTTCTTTGGCGGAATAATAATAAATAACAATAAATTTCTTCTATTCAAATAAAAAAATACAACTAGGCCATTTCATTACGCTTATGTTGTAGGTACCACCTTCATGTAAGTTCTCGATAAACTTACTTAGCACATTAATCAATAAAAAATAAGTTCTATTTTTAAACTTAAACGGCATATATTTTTAGCTATTCAGGCGGAGAGAAGGGGTTGGTTGAAACAGAATAAGCCATTACAAACATTTTAAATATTTTTAAAAATGGAATTCACTAAAAATGTTTTAATTTTTTTTTTTTTTTTGGAGTTTATGGCTAATGTTTTAATTCAAACTCTTTCTGAGAAGCTAACATAAAATAATGTGTTCACATTATGTTTTGAAAATCGAAATCATAATAATATATTGCTGGCTGTTATTTAAAATTTCAATTTAGATAAAATTATAAAAAGTAACGAGACAACATGGTGAACTCATGTAAGTTTGTTGTTACTTATGGAATATAATTAACTTAGTGCATAAAAACACTGAATACTTAATTCAAAGAACAGAGATACAAACTAAAATGTTGAAGGGTTTTAATGAATTAATTAAATAGAGTGGCTGAAGTGAAAAGTCTCTAATTAACTGCAACAAGTGAAGTGGAATTCCAGTAGTTTCTAAATGAAGTAAAAAGATTCGAAAAAGAAGTTCGTCCTTTTGACTGTAATGTTTATAGAAACTATTTCGTTTAATCTCGTTTTACATTTTTATTAAGTGTTTTTAGTTTGCAATTTAAAAAGAAAAATCTTATGACCTCTACTGGCGTTTTGCAGTTCATAATGAATAGAAAATAACGTATAGAAGACACTATTATTGTTATACAAATAATATAGGCAGTTTCAGGTAAAATCGTAGTAAGCGGTCGTAAAATAAGATCTAGAATTTTCTAAAAGAATTGAAAAAGAATGTTGATTGGAAAAAGGTTTCGTGATTTTCTTGAACATATTTTATCTTATTCGATAAAAAAAACAGTAAAAAGATCTCTTTCTAGGCTCTGATTAAAACGATACTTTGGACAGTTTTTATGAAAAAATCGATGTGTGTTTTGCATGAAAACTGTAAAACGTGAATACACACTTTACGATGAGATTTAACGATCGCTTAGTCGTTAAAACAGACGAATATTTCTTTTATTATTATGGCGTTCGTGAAAAACCACATTAAAAGAGGCCTAGATTAATCCTTTTTTACAATGTTCTTTTTTCAAATCCAAGTTCGGTGGGATATTCACTTTGGAATTTGATTCAAAAAAATATTTGTTTTCACTACTCGTCTCGTTTTCTCATTTGACGTTTTTTGTTTAAGTAAGTATTATTTTTTCCGAAGTATTGTGTAAAACGTCTTATGATACTCGCGTGTATTGATGATTACCGTCCTCGGCTCCTTAAGGCCCTCGCCTGTCGGCTCAGGCCTCAATGTACCTTAGTGGGAATCACCAACATTATACACTCTACCATAACGTACTATTATTTATTTTGTTGTTCATCGGGATATTAGAAAGGGCTATTCTTATATGTATGTTGAGTTTGTTACTACTCAGCCAAGGTTTGTGATATATACAATTATGTCCAGAAAGTAATAGTATGTAAGATAGTCCTTCTTAGTTATCCTTGAAATAAAAAGCTTTGATTAACTTTCATAAAATTTTCAGTAGTTAATTATCTAAGACCTTTTTTGTTTCAATGCTTGTATTCTTTAGAGATAGTAAGCTCTACTATAAACCTCCTAGCTACTAACAAATGTGACATAGACTAATTAATATTAATAATTTACCCATGAAACTACAAAATGAGAAATTTTCAAGGGATTATTTTCCATTTATTCTCTTTTAGAATTTTAAATCCAGCTTTAAATCCCAACGCTTTTAATACAACCCTAAGCTCAGGCATCACGGTACATTCCCCTCTTTGTTTGCGAACGATCGATTAACAATAGGTTTCAAAGTGCAATGTATAGTTAAACTAATGGAAAACCGTAGGGCTGACGTGTATTGGGTTACAGGTTGTTGCCCTTTACTTCGTCTATTTCGTGCAGACGATACCTCGTTATTTTTTATAATTCGAATTTAAAATTTTATTCTGTATTTTGTATTTTATGCCTTATATTTTAAGGGTTGGTTTTCTTTTAAGTGGGTAGATAGTAAATTCAATTTACATAAATGTTTTGGTTTGAGTTCAAGTTGTCTAGAGATTGCAAGATATAAAAATATCTTTATCTGTTTGTTTTCTCTTCTTTCAGAGTATGTAGAAATAAAAGAAGTTTCTATAGGCACTTATTCAAGTAAGAAAAATAACGTTGGAGTAAATAGGCGTAGCTTTAATAAAGTTTTAAATAAGTACCTATTAGTTGTAAGTACATGAAATTACTACAGCAATTTATCGCTACAATCCTCAACGATCTAATTTAAACTAAAAAGGTTTTTATCTCTTTAATAATTTTCGTTATATTTTTTTATGCGCGCAATATTTTCGAAATTCGAATATTCTAAAACTATCGAGTTTATAAAATATCATAATTTGGGCGCACAACGACCCTTTTTAATAATAACCAGTCGAGGCCGAACCTCCCTCTAGTCTAGACTAATCAGACATCTAGACATCGGAATGTCTGGGCTTTACGATAACTTAGATACTTAATTGATTGGTACGACTGTAAATACCTAATTTGCTAAATTTGTTAAGTGAATTTGTCATTTTATTCTTGCAAGTGATAATTATAGATGGATGTATTTTCTATCAATGTTAACAACATTGGAAAAAGTCGGCAAACGCAATCGTTTGCCGACTAAAACTAAAACAGAGGATATAATTATGTAGATTGAAGACCAATGTCTTCAATCTACATAATAAAGTTATATCCTCTGTTTTAGTTTTAAAAATACGAATTCTTCATCAAAACATTTTGACGTATTAACTTGTAGATGTTAATAAAGCAGTTACTAAAGTAAAGAAGGAGAAGAAATATCTATAGGTAATATAGTATCGTATTATTTAAAATATATCGTTACGCTACAGGCGTTGACATAACATAAATACTTTCTTATTTTATTTATTCATAATGCCATTCATGTGTGTGAAATATTAAAAAGGTTGTATATGATTATTTAACTTACGCCACAATCGTATTTCCTAACATACTCCTCTACTGTTGTTACAGGCAAGCAGTGGGGCAGAACCCCAGGTAGCCGTCCTCTGCGAAGCAGGCGGCACCTACCACCCACAGTACATGTCTGCTGCCGGCCGATGGACTCCCGACCTCACTACCAAACCCCACAACTGCCTCAAGGACAAGATGGAAATCCTCGATTACTGCAAGAAGGTGAGATAGTTGTTTTTCTTCATTTCCTTTATTGTAAATACGTGCACGAGTAAAACGTGAGAGGAAGAATTGGTTGAAGTTTATTTCCAATCACAATATTTTATAGAGAGAGACTGATTATTCACTGATATATTGTCACCAGCTGTTGATGACTTTGTGATGACCCTCACGATCACGCAGGTCACCGCGTGAAAAAAGACCCTTGAGCGACCGCCCAAGACTTTTTTTCCGTACTTCAAATACGATGCATGACTAAACGAGTCTAGCATTAATAAAATAAAATGGTCGCTAAAAAAATCTCATTACGGTTTTATACGTACCTACTATCTACACAACACGACCGTGCCCATCTCGTTTTCTCGTCATCCGTTTACACGTTACATTTAGTTTAAATAACAATCCACAAAATTCTCTAATCCCTATAGAATTTGAAATAATCTAAATGAAATAATAACGAAACGTACGTAAGTTGACATAGAGACGTAACCCCGTGTGGTTCCCCGTGACCACGTATTATCGACTCCCGCTAATCTCGTTAACTTACCGCTTAACTAGCACTATACATACTTACCGACAAGTAATTCTCTAAAACTAATTGCTTACTTAACTATTTTAGCACCCACGGGCATTATGTGTTATGTAACTTACATTATCTAACTAGTCAAATAATATGACATCGGAATCCTATTTGGAATTTTACACGACATGAAAAAATATTAATCTGTCATAAAACTATCATAACACGCACATATTTTTTTAGTACATATTTATTGCATGGTAGTCTTCGTCTGGTTGACACGTATACTAGGTATTCCTTGGCTATATTCAGGAGCATTTAATACAGTCAATGCATTTTCTTCCTCATCACCGACCTTTAAGTTTAGTCTTTAAGCAAAGGTATCTTCTTGCACGAAAAAGGTTTGAACTTGAGGTTTGAATATTAATCACTACGCTTGATCAACGCGGAATCTCGATTTCAAACTATTCATTAGAAATTCATTATTTCTTAATCATATGTCTGTGGTGTCTTATTTATGTAAGAAGAAAGAAAGTACATATTAGGTACTCGGAAGTAGTTTCATTGATATGTATTTTAAATAAAAAAAAATTTTTTTTTTAATCTTTATGTCATAGAATGACCGAGGAATAAAATACTTTGACAAGATTCTACGTTAATATATCAAGCTTAAGTCTTAGGTAAAAAATAGTCTCTCTTAAATCACTAAAACTATTTTGGATATCAACCAGTCGAAGACACTTTGTACGGTGGTACTAACCCTTTTATTTTAATTGGCAAATTCCACTGTTCTGTTTTATGGAATTTCTGATTTAGGGCGGAATGTGGCTATGGTGAGGTCACAAAGGACTGTTGTTGCCTTGCTCACCTCTGACCAGACAATTTCATTTCAAACTCCAATTAAATTGATTAATGTCTGTGCAATTTACTTTAAGAAATTTATTTTCTGTTTCAACTTATTTATTTGATCTATTGTAGGACAGGGCATCTAATAAAATGACTCTGAAATGATTTATTGAATTAGAATTCAGTTTACATGTTGTAGATATCTGTAGCAATGTATGGCAAAACGCAATAAATTTTTGAACAAGTTCTAAATTCAAAAAATATTCGTCATCTTCTTCCAGGTGTACCCGAGCCACGACATCACCAACATCGTTGAAGCTTCCCATTATGTGAAGGTCAGCAACTGGTGCAAGCTGGGGACTGGTAATGCGGCCAAGTGCAAGGTCACGCGATGGGTGAAGCCATTCCGTTGTCTTGGTATGTATCCATTACTGATACATGATTACTTCGTAATTTGATACGGTTATTGGTGTATAAATCCGTTCCGGACTTCCCGGTCGAAGGTCAATAATATGATATTTCAAAGCTATGTGGTTAAGGAATTAATAGATTTTATATTTATTAACACAAACTCCATTAATTTTCTTCTATGTTAACTTGTCCTTCCTTCCCTTCCTGAATCCATTTACGAACCCTTACAATGCATAACTACAAAGAGTATTTGGCGGCAGAAGGTCCATTCCAATCGGACGCGCTGCTGGTGCCTGAAAGCTGTCTCTTCGACCACATCCACAACCAATCCCGGTGCTGGCAGTTCGCGAGGTGGAACGCCACAGCTGGTCGCGCTTGCTCTCAACGAGGACTGAAACTGAGGACTTTTGCGATGCTCCTGCCCTGTGGAATTAGTCTATTCTCTGGCGTCGAGTTTGTCTGCTGCCCAAAGCATTTTAAGGGTAAGTGAATCGAATATTTGGCACTTAGGTAAGATAAAATTGATGTTGATAAGTCATGGGTGTAATTAATTGTTCATATTATTTTAGAAAATGTAAAGATGCACAAGCCCATGGATGTCGGAGTGCCCGTCAGCCCCGGTGGCGAAGAAATGCTTGCGGCTTCAGCGGCGATGGATGAGCGTGACGATGACCTTTTGGATGATGATGATGCTTTAGATGACGATGATGATGACGACACCCTGAACCTTAGCGACGATGATGATGATGACGACGCTGATGACGGTAAGTTTGTTTGAAAAGTCATTGATCTCTTTGTATCCAAGCTAAGAATGTGTTAACACACTTCTCAACGTGACATCTAAAGTTTTCTTACATGGTATATAGTGTTTAAAGTTTTGATTGGAAAGAAATAAAAATGAATATTGGTTTACTTTTAAAAGTGTAATTACACATAATTAATAATCTCCGTTTTAATGTTACAGATATGGATGAAGAAGAAGACGCAGATTTGTCTCGGGATGACGATGCCGAGGACGACGACTACACTGACGGTGACGATAACTCCTGGCCTCGTCCTGAAACATCTTCCCAGCCGTCTACCACCACGACCACTACCACTACGACCACGACTACTACGGTAAGTTGTATTATACCAATTATACCAATTATAACAATTAATACAAAAGATGTGTGGTTAATGGAACGACTACCAAAATAAAGTTGGCCATTTAGCCAAATCTAGTAATGACTCAGTAAGGAAAATTTAAAAGAAGCAAGAAAAATACTGATGATATTAAATCAAATGTTGTAAAAGATCATTATCATGATTGGTGATCGTAACTTTACATTCAGAAATGAAGAAAATTGCCTTGTCTTAAATTGCAGTGTAAAATGCAAATATTAATGTTAAGACTGATTGTTATATCGTTTGCAGGCTTCATCCGCTACCTCCGATCCTTACTTCTCGCATTTCGACCCTCGCACTGAACACCAGAGTTACAAGGACGCTCAGCAAAGGCTGGAAGAGACTCACCGCGAAAAGGTATGTATTGAATCAACTCAATTTTCAGAAGTTCAGTGTTCTTAATGGTATGTTACAACATATTTTAAGATTGGAATTTAGATCGTATCGAAATTCCGGCTCTATTAAAAATCTGCCGATAACAACATGTAAATGTAATGTATAATAAAAGTGAATATTTTTTTTAATCAACGAGTAGTTTTGAGTAAGTAGTCAAAAGCTGTTTGATTGCTTCATAAAAATATATCTTTAACAGATCACGAAGGTGATGAAGGAATGGTCGGAGCTGGAGGACCGGTACCAGCAAATGATGAACAATGACCCCACAGCCGCTCAGACTTTCCGCCAACGTATGACTGCCAAGTTCCAGTCTAACATTCAGGTAATTATTACGTACTCTTTCATGTCATCGGTGTTGAGAACAATAGTTTCCTAAAAGATGTTACTATTGCATTGGTGAGTTTCAATCCTTGTATTTATCTTTCTACATTATATTAGTAGATTAAAAACATTTCATCCCTAAAGTCTTCTTCTTCGTTTTTGCTACCAACTGTATCATCTCAATTAACCAAATTTATTTCTTCAGACTCTGGAGGAAGAAGGTGTAGCTGAGCGTCGTCGTTTGGCCGCTCTCCATCAGCAACGAGTCCTGGCTCACCTCGCTCAGCGTCGCCGCACTGCCCTCGCCTGCTACACTCGCTCCCTTCGGGATACCCCACCCAATGTAAGTAAAGATATCTTTATCATTATTGTTATTGCCACCAATATCTGCTACAAGACCTATGTTGATAAAAGTGGTAAAATATTTTCGATCTTCATAAAATTAACTAAAGCAATACCTGGACTTTCAATACAGTTTATTTTTGCATTTCCGCGTGTTACTGACTGACGAATAAGATCATTATCATAATTAGTTTAAAGTCCAGGTATTCTCATGATGCTTTCCTTCGCCGTGTGCTAGTATTGTCGCAATCTTATTTGACAAGCAGAAGCAAGGAGTAGTAGAAGCGGAAGAACTTTCTGACCTTGATGATAAAATATAATAAAAATATTTTTTTAGCACAGTCAATTTATTGAAAACAACGGAATTAATACGTGGATGAACTTACGAAAGGTCTATTGGTTTCAAGTCATAACGGGACTCTTATCAGTTCAAAATCTTTTCTTGTAACCAGGCTCACCGCGTCCAGAAGTGCTTGCAACGCCTGGTCCGTGCTTTGGCAGCTGAGCGCAGTGGAGCTCTGGCCGCGTGGCGCCGCGCCGCCGCCAACGGACGAGAGGCCGCCGCCGCTGAGCGATCCAGTGCTGCCGACCGATTGCAGGTAAATACAACTCCAAATAGAATTGCAAATATTAAAAAACAAACTAAGCAATAAACAGTCACACAGAAATCTCGATTCAAATGAAAATTGTTATGTTGATGAATTTTAGCATTTCGATTTCAATGATTAATAGGTTTGTTTTGGCAGAAACAATTAATTACATTACCATCTAAGTGATCGCATATTGCAATAAGTTGGAGTTTTCTTTTTTAATTTCGAATTCCTAAAGTTCTATTAGAAAGACAGTACGATCAGCAGTTCAACGCAGTAAAATCATTGATATGCGGTTCCTTTAATTCAATCAATACTTCTATTTAACTCAGGATGCCGACCGAGCTCTTCAGCGCGCCCTCTCTTCTCTCCGCCGCCGCCCTCACCTGTACGCTAGCATTGGAACTGCTATTGAAGACTATGTTCAGGTAAGAAAAATAAACGTGGTACAAACTGTAAAATAATGATCAAAAAGATTCGGCGCTTTTGGGTCGGCACGACCGGAGTGATACCACGGCCTCACAGAAAACCGGGGAGAACATCTAAAGCGTGGTATTTCGCCGTGTGAGTGAGGTTACCGGCCGCCCAATCCTTAAATATCCGAAAGCCTGATCCCCAAAACGCAACTTAGTCGTTACTCCTCTGGTATTGCCACATGGACACCTGTTCATGCGCGGCCCCAATTGTTTACCATCAGGTAATAAGTATCCGGTAGTTTGTCGACCTATTTAATTTAGAAAAAAATAATAAAGCTTCCACTCGTCATACTAGTTGAAGCTGCCGTTGCCTTTGTTTTCTGAGAAGAATTAGATTAATCGCTTATTCCAAATACAAAGCTAGTTCGATTGCCACTATTGGTGACATAAGACAAATTCTAACATTCTAGTCGATGCAATCCAAGGACGATATGGCTGTGTCCCTGATGTCAATGACTCCTGAAGCTGAGGAACTGTTGCTGGACCGCATTGAAGCTGAAGTACAACGAGAACAGGCCGCCCGTGATCAGCTCAACGCTAAACGTGACCAGCGCACTCGACAGCGTCAAGATATCCAGAACGAACGGGCTAAGGTAAGGACTTAGAACTTTAAAAAGACAAAAATGTTATCCTTATAAAACACTATTAACTAACTGAAAACTCAACGGGGCTTCATATTTATGCGCAGCGTTCGCGTTTTGAATCTTTTCATCAACAATTCTAAAATTAACAGATGTTTGTCCACTTAATTTTTTTAACTTACAATTGGAAATTAAAGAAATAACTTATGTAGGGTTGCAGAATTTACACTAGATGGCGTTGTATTACACTAGATGGCGCTATATGCCTATTACTAGTTTTTAAGACGTCATTTCTCATAGAATAATCTTCAACAAGATTAATATTACTAGTATTTTCCTTCTGCATACATTTAGAACTTAACAAATTACCTTCCAGACCTCAAACGGTGTGAAGGAGAGCTTAGAAGCTGATGACGAGGCGAGTGAAGCAAGTGAGGTCGAAGACATTTCATCCAGCAGCACTCGAGGACCGGTTCCCTCTGCTTCTGCTCCTCCATCCCCATCCCCATCAGCGTCTGCCAGCGCATCACCAGTACCATCTGCAGCGTCAGTGACACCACATGACATCACCACTCATGCCCCCTTCTCACAGGATACTACTACTACTGTGAGTATTTGACCACGAAGTGTATGGTATATAATTATATGGTATACTAGCGGCCCGTCCCCGCTTCGCACGAGTCTAACTATCTCGCTAATACCGAAAGAGTCAGTTTTTTCAATATTAATCTTTACTTTTCTAATATTATCTTTGATAAGAACCTTCTCCTGACAATAATAAACACAACATAACAAAAATTGGCAAAACTGGTCCAGGGCTTGTTGAGTTATGTGCTTAGCAACATATTTTGTGGTTCTTTTTTTATACTATAGATTAGAAGTTGTCCCGCCCATCGCCCCGAGTGTCAGACTCTTACTGACTAAAAATCCCCCCCGTGCACTTGCTGCAGATGAGTTCTCAGAAACTATATCAGTAACATTATTTTTCGTAGGAAATCATAACCAGCACGGTGACTGACGTACCAGAGAGCGAGACTGCTGAAACCGGTGAGATCAGCGAGACTTCCAGCCGACGATCCACCAGCGAGGTATTAGCCCATAGAGTTTCTTAAACATTTTGTCAGTCAAAATTAGATACGATTTTTTTAGAGTGAAAGAGTTTTGGACATCCTACAAGCGTTTTCAAAGATTACACTCTTCATACAAACTTACAAATTTTACCCCATTATAACATTAGTTTAGATCAGTGTATACTTGAAATCCGAAAAATTCTTTACCCTTTTCTAGAACGTTATTAGGTGGAACTGCAAATAAAATGTCGTCTTTTGGATTTTGTTGGCACTTAATAATTGATGATTTGACTATATTGCAGACGGAGGGCGAAGGCCTGCGTGCCGCCCTGGAGCACGCGGAGGAACGCGCGCCCCCGCCACCTGCGCATGCTCTCAAGCATGAGCTGCAGCACTCGCAGCCTGTGAGTACCTTGCATACCTATCAAAACAAAGTTAAATTATAATAAGTTAAATGCCCCTCCCCTTGCTTTTGAGAATGGTCGAGAAAATTTATCGTTTATGTTACTGACTTGAAATCTGAAGACAATTTTTTGGGAGCAATCAGTATCAATGTCGAACTAAAAACTAAATATTTGTTTAAAAAATTCTTTACTTTACCAATAACACTTGGTAACAAAAACAGTCGAACAATATTTTAAAGACTAAATTATTTAGCAAACTCAAGCTTAACAGTTCATGACATGGCTACACAGAAAGTACTTATTATAGACTAGCATACCTCCAAAAACTGACCGGCCCTTTTACATATTATTAGAAACTGGTATACATATTTCCATAACGAAGAACACTATCATTGAAATGATTTGTTTTGTCCAGAGTTACACCGTCCGTGGATCGGGTATGTCTAACGGCGGTGGGTCAGCGAGTGCGCTGTACCCCGCGCTGTGCGTGGGCGGCGCGGCGCTGGCGGCCGCAGCCTGCGTCGCGCTCGCAGTCGCCCGTCGCCGCGACCGCGCGCCACCCGCACAGGGCTTCGTACAGGTGAGATATGTTCCTTAACAACGTCGTGGTGGTCCAGAGGTTAAGGCGCCAATCTGACTTTTTCCGAGTTACATGAACTTTCTATGATTATTTAGACACCATTGATGTACGGTGAAGGAAAACATCGTGGGGAAACCTGGACACTTAATTTCTAATTATAAGTTTTAAATCACCAAACCTCCGTGTGGGAAGAGGTTTTTGCTCACCAGTGGGTCATTATAGGCTGATGATGATGTTCCTTGAAATGACTTAGGCTTCTTATGCGAGACATGGCGCTGGTCGTCTGTCTACATTGTTCATGTTCTTTTTCCCCGGGTAGTCACCCCGCTACTGCAATTTACAACGGAAGTACCACGTCGCATATCCGTGTAACGAGGCGTTAATATCGACTATTATTTGCCCAAGGCGCGCTCTTGGCCCCCATTTTTCTATAGACGTCAATGCGATATGTGTTTTTATTTACGTTTTAACTTGTAAATCAGTTATATTTTTCAAAAATAGCATATGTTTTGAAATTTTTCTTAGCATATTAACATGAAAGGATAAAGGAGCAATAGATTTTCAATTCTTCTTCAGGTGGAGCAGACCGGAGCCGTCGCCCCTACCCCTGAGGAGCGACACGTAGCCAACATGCAGATTAATGGCTACGAGAACCCGACCTACAAGTACTTCGAGGTCAAAGAGTAGATTCCCACCCTTACATCCCTCCCTCCCTCCACCTCTACCCTCGCTAGGAGTGCGCGGCTTGTCACGTCCGACCAAGTAGCTTGACTCCATGTATCATCAAGTCTACTTCGGACAGGAGTGTTATAAAATGTTGTGGTGTCCTTTCGGCCAATTCTTTCGTCTACGTCCTCTGTTAATTCATCAGCGTCCTGAACTTTGAATCTCATCATGAAATCATCAAACTAATAGTACAGTACTCGGACGCCGATGAAGTCTCACAGCACGTAGACAGAACTTCCAAATTCTTGTGATGTGTGCTAGATGCCCCTAGAGACAGGGTGTTTTTCTACCCTACACCTTTATCTATTGTCCTCAGCGTAATTCTTTATGGAATGAATGTGTGTGAAACTTATATATCGTCCGGCGAGGCCGCACTCCCGGCGGGGCAGGCCCTTTGTTATAAACATTCATTTATAAAGCTTGTGTGATTAGTGGGAATATTCGTTTGCGGTAACGCGGTCAGTCATACTGTTAAGGTTAGAAGTGATAACGGTTTATTTTTGTTATTTATTTTGCACCAAAATATTTATTATTATTTTAAGGACTTAGTACTAAGTTATTTTGTCTAGTGTCCTAGAATTCATAAGTGTCACTGTAGTCGAGTTTTTTAAATTAAGTTTTTGATGCCGCTCCCGCAGTGGTGACGTCCGACGGGCCCCTTGGTCCCGCGGTGCGTTTTGTTACTCGTTACTCGAATGATCTCAGTTTTAGTCTGTCTATCGTTTAGCTATAGTTTCCCTGTTCGGTTCGTTGAATGTTACTACTGGGGTGAGTGGAACAAACGTCCATGGTACGCTGTGTATATAGGCTCCGCGTACAAATTTGAACCTAAATTACTTACACTTAACGCCCGCTTTCATTTACTTTTCTAACGTAGGTAGAACATAACGTGAATTTTATGTAATAAATGCGAAAATATATTTTAATAATTAATGTGTACTTAGCGATGGGACGGGCGGCATAGCCGGCGCGGGTGAACGATTCTGTCTTTGATTACTCTGCAGCATTCCTCCAAGATGAGTTAGTGGGTATAAGTTGTGTCTGGTACCGTGATGGTCGCTATGTATCCTTTCCGTTCGCCCGCGGGACAATACCAAGTTCCCGACGTGAGAGACCGCCGTGTACTCAACGTGCGTTTAGTGAATAGAGTACAGCAGTGCGCCCGCAGAGTTCGTGTCGTGCCGACGTTTGTGTATCTAGTCAAGGCGCCACAAGATGTCTACATTTGCCAGTTTCTCGACAAACGGTTGTGTACGCACCTTGGGTACGCGGTCGCGAGGCAAGTAAGCTTAGTGAGTGTATGTACGGTTAATATATAAGTAGATGTACAAAAAGTAATACATTATATAGATGTTTTAGCGTCAGATACATAGATATAAAGCAAAATATAATTATATATCGCATTCGTCCGTATAAAGTAAGGGCTTGCGCTCGTGTCTAATCCCACGTACCACACTTAATGTTACGTCGTAGTTAAGATGTAATTCTGCCTCAGTATTATATACATTTAAGCTTATTTGTTACATAAGCTAATTTATATACACTATTTCTATTTGTTTACGGGCGTAGTGGCGTTACTACAAATGAAGTCATATCAGATGCGCCACGGCGCTCTGTTGCTCCTATTTCGCTGCGCATGGCAATTTGCGGAGATCGAGTATAGATGGCGTTGTTATTAACAATGTGGCTCGCGGTTTAGACCTGATGGTGACATTCGTCTCGCAGCGAAAGAGGTGCGAGTAGGCGCCCGCCCGTGCTTATCGTATGGCATTTACGTAAGTTACTCACTGTGTATAATGTAAGTTTAATCCCGCAACAAGTAACCGCTATGTATTTTTAATATCGCTCCTTTAATCATAAAACGAAATAACTCAAAATTCAATTTTTTTGGGAAAACTCATTTAAAGTTTGTCATGTTTACCATTGTGGCTTTAATTAACCACAAAAAAATAAAAAAATGGTTTAGGTCAATTTCAAAAGTAGATATAGTTAGCCTAATTAATAAACTACAAGATCATTAAAAAAAAAAAACATTTTTTGTATCAGGAAGACAATTAAATCAAGAATGCAAAAATAAGTTCGTAGTTAATTCACTTTAAAATAAAATATTGTAATCAAATAATTATCATACAGTCGGGGTAACTGTAAGTGTAACAGTTTTTTATTAAAATAATCTTGCAAGTAGACGAAGTATTTCGATTTAGTGCATTGTTTAACTAAGAAGCATTAACTGTCTGAAAAATATTCCTAATTGTTTCTGTGTTAGTTTTAATTTACAAATAAAATGTATGGATTTCTTAGTAAAAAAAAGACATTTTTGTTTATTTCTTCTTTTTATTCACGAAAATCAAGAAATTGTAATCAATCAATAAGTACCTACTACTTATAGCAAAAAAAAAACTAAATAACAATAATGACATTGATGACATTGTCATAAGACATAGATTATATAAGTCACAATCTAAAGTTCTTTCACGAAATTAACAAAATACAAAAAAATTATTAAAAATCAAAAACTGTATTAATAATCAGACTTCAATTCTGACTGTATCAATATTCAGACTCTTTTGTTTTTATTATCAGCAAAAATCAACTAAAATTGAGATCAAATCTTAATCAAAACACCTTATAAATTATTAACTTAAAATATCGAATTATAAAATCCTGCATAAAAAGAAGGGATCAGAGCTTTTGTGATAAGCTCTTTTAAATCTTTTTTTTTATTCGCACTAATCTCCAGTTTCTTGGAATAGGCTTGCTGTAGTGATATTTCTGTTAGTGCTTTCATTTTTTTTCTTTTATTTCTAACATCAACTTCCTGGTAGTTTACTTGCTTATAAGACGTTTTATAGAAAAATACGGTAGGGTTTTGTTTGCAAATTTTTAAAATTTTTATTTCGTTCCAGTTGACATTCTGTCCATCACTATTTGTTGTAAAATTATAACCCCATTCTTCCTGTAAAATTTTAAAATCATAAAATGATTCATAATTCATTTCATGCACCATCAATGGAGGTTTCGATTTTTTTGCATTCTTTATAAGAGGTATGTACTGTTCGGGTGTATAAATAGGACCAGATTTTAAATTCTTCTTCACCTCCCTCTCGATGAGGCTATGGACGCTATCAGCCTCGTTTTGTGTATGACCCCGTATTAGAAATTTATGTTTTATAGTTTTTATGTTTAATGTTTGAACTGCATATAAATACAGTGAAGTAATGTATTTATTTTTGTTCTGCCCGCAGCAGTTGTCGGAATAAAATATAACTTCCTTTTCATCATCGTCTTCATCGCTTAATGCTTTCAAATATGCCCATATACATGAGCCGATCTCAATGGCGCCACGTTTTGCGTCACTCTCCGACCAAAAATAACAATGCACATTTTTATATGCATCATTACAGTCGCTTCCAGTAAGCTCCGTCACTGTTAAATTATAACAATTAAGTTTAGACTTATAATAAAAAGAGGAAGTATCACCTTTTGGGCACTGCAATACTGCCTCTAAATCATATACAGCTACTCTGAAGTTTTTATTGACTTTCATGCGATCATTCATCTTCTCGAGCCTACTACAATTCTTCTCTTCCAAATGAGTGTTATATTTTTCTTCTATGTCTTTCTTTTGATCAGCATTAGAATTATAGTATGAGTTGCAAAGATCACATTGATCCTTCTTAGGTTGGAAAAAAGAGAGATTAAATTCAGATGTAAATATTTTATAATATGTTATGTATGTACCTGCATCTTTATTATTCTTTTCTTGGTTTTCTTTAAAATCGTTGTATAAATCTTTTATAGTTTTGCTGCCTTCTATGTATTCCTTTGTAGATGAAGCTCGTACGTAGTGAGATTCAATTTTAGGGATAGAATTTATGTGTTGTATGATCGCAGCTCGTAATTCGGGATCAATTTTTTTATGATTTTGATGTCTTCCTCTAAAATCATTGAGTGAAAAATCATTATCCTTTATTTTATTCTGTGTCGTCAATATCATACGGTTTGAGATGTCTAACGTGGCTTTATAAAAAGTTTTGCAGACCCTAATCATAGTTTTCAATCATTTCTGGGTCGTTCAGAGTTCGTGTACTTGTATTTTGGCTGGACATCAATCATGCTTGCACTTATGAATGCTCTTTGTTTCGCCAAATCCCCCAAATCCCAAAACTTCCGAAATAATTCGTATCTGCTGTCTCTGTTTATTTTTGTGGTGCATTTAAGCCTGCATTTTTCTGAGCAAGGTTCTTTGAGACATCGGGCTGGAACATTCTTCCGAGTTTTGGACATAGAAATATACGTTTTGCCCTTATTACGTAAACGTTTCATTTTATTTTGTTTCCATTGAGATGGTTTTTTTGAACGTTTGCGTCCCTTTTTTGGAGTAATACGTGAATTAGATGAACTAGTAGAAGAAGAGCTTGAGTCGTAAAAAATATAGTTCCTTTTTCTTCTGTTTTCCATGATTGTAAAGGTCGGATCTGTATCACTGAGGTCTATATCACTTTCGTCGGTATAAATTGGAGATGAGTAATAACTGGTTGAGTTCTCCCTGGGATGACGATTTTTTTCCTGAAAGAAAAATTAACATTAAAATTTAAATGTAAGATGAAATAACGGCAAATAAAAGTTTTTAAACTGTCATAGTCAGTAACATTATCATTAACACTAGAAACAAAAAGTAAACATGCTAAAATATCCCACATCTAGACTAGTGTTAATGATAACGACAAGACGTGTTGGTCTTTTTATGGCACCATTATAACTTACATTCCTTCTATTCTCAAAATGCTGCGGAGGAGTATTTTCAATAACTTCACTGTCGTCTGTTTCATTAACAGTTACGTGGTGTCTAGCAGTTCTTGCGAGTGACCGAGTGTTGGTTGAGTGCGAACTATCCGAGTCTGAACTTGATGACGATGAGCTCGAGGACGAACTTGAAGTTGATGAAGATTGACGAACAGTATTTTCTTCATTTTTGTTTTCTGCTTCAGTAGTTGTGTATCGTGTATCTTCATGGTCAGACAAGCTAATGTCACTATCAGAATAAGGTACTAGGTGTTGAAAATGAGTTTTCTGTAATTAATAAATGTAAAATTTAGATAAGTAGGTACTTACTAAATATTTTTACAGGAATAAATAAACTAAGTAAAATTTCAGTTTACTAATCTAAATGATATCATTATGTTAATAATTTAATCATCATCAATTTCTACTTACTGGTATAGCTACTTCATTTGTTTTTTCAAAGTGTTCTATTGATTCCGCTATTGTTTTATCCTCCGTTTCAGTAGGGATATTATGTTCATTTTGTACCTAAAATAGTAGATCAAAAATATAGTTTTAATAATAACAAATAAATAACGTGGTTTATTGTATTAAGAATAATGTCCTGAGTGCATGCTGCTAATAAGAATCTCTTAAAAGGAATACCTACTACTTTAATCGGGAATCGGACCAGAAGACTTGAGACTATTATAAAATTACCCAAAACCGCGCTCTACGTGATACTGGTAACGTACCCCGCACACACCTCACCATGCCAAGCACGACGCACGTGTAGCACCCGCGAGTTCGAAGAATAATCGTAAGAAATTTCGGAGAACTCATTTATGTAGTGGAGTTATAGGTAGACAAATCGCAGTTTTATAAATTAAACACTTGAATATAGGTATTTGTAATCTGCAATAACAGTAATTATTAATTAGGTAGGTACTCACCTCGTTGTTGGAATTCATATTGCTATTATTGGGTTTCTCATATTCTAACTCATAGTCCGGTGAAGTTATAGTATTTTCACAATCCGGTGTTGAATTTTCCGCCAGTAAACCCAAAATTCTTCGTGCCCTTGAAGACTTCATTCTAAAACAGGACAAAGAATAGGTACTTGTATTAATTAAACTCCTTTCAAATCCTCCACATCACTCTAAAGAAAATAAAAATACCCTTGTTATTGTTTAAATTTACTAACGACACTCATTATTTTAATAAAATAGTAAAATAACTCGAAATGAAAACAAAGTCATAACTGACAAATTAACAGTAAACAGAAACAAACCAAAAAAATACTAAGTTTTTGATAAACCATAGTACAATACTGGAATAATACATAATTCAATTTAGATTTGCATACGCATTTTATTCTAAAACTGCATCAACTTGAAATGTATCGTAATACGGTATGATAAAATTAATACAAAACTGAATTAAGTCAAAATACTATCGAAACAAATTATGTCTACTTTTCTAATAAAGAGAAATAACTCAAACAAATTCACTTTTTGAATAAATAAAAGCTTAAAAAATAATTACCTGATAGCAAAACACTGATTCTTTTCGTTTTACTCCGCTTTTTTAAATTTCTTCCGAGATCTTACCTTGAGCAAAGTCGGTGCATCACTGAAGGGATCACTTTACCGGTACCAACTTGTTCGAGTGCATTAATCAAAAAGAGAACGACTGTCTTCTATCTCCGTCATTGTCATCATATTGAGTTGGCTGTTAGACTTACCGTATTCTCCATGTGAAGTTAATTCACTTTATGATAAAAAGTCGAAAATCGTAAATTTTGAGTTGTTTCGTTTTATGATTAAAGGGGCGATGATGGTAACGAGCCGACCACTTATTTTTTTAACAAAACTTTTTGCTCAAAATCAGCTGTTTCTCGTCGGTATAGGATGTCTACTTTCGACCGATCTAAATTTATTGTCGTTCGTCAACAATATTCGATGTTAGTAGTACCTAAAACCTGGTTTCTGTACCTTTTCCAATCACTGTTTCACGTATTTTAATAAGTATTCTACATAATAATAAATGGTTTGATGATTTTTGTGTTTACTATGCTGCATTTTATTGTGAGTTCGAAGTTCAAATTGAATCAATAAATAGAAATTTAAATATTGGTGTTATTATTGGTGCAATGCGCTGTCTCTTTCCCATTATTCCCCACCCTGAAATTATACATATACTTTATCCGCAATCTACAGGCAATACAAAACTGGAAAGACATTATTTAAATAACTATAATCGATAAAGTTTAGAAAATTGTTTAGATTAATAGTGATAGGTAGCGGTACAAAGGGAACGTAGATCAAATACTGTATTCTTAAATGATTTACATGTATAAAAAATCCTGCCTGGCTTCCTCGCTAGTCAAATAGTTGCAAATCTAGCTCCCAGGGCAGGGTAATATTCCCAGGTTAGATAATGCAAACGAGGACGCTCAGTCACTTAGAGCATGATAACTGTTTGGTAATTAACTTTTTCTTCTTTTGTTTTTGGTTATATACAAAATATAAAAATTACTGTATTTATTTTAAACTATTTAGCTCTCTTATATTCTTTCGAAATACACTCAGGGGCACATTTAACCGTCCACCCATCTCAAATAGCATAACGTTTGTTTATGTTAACTTACGCTTTGAATTATAGGCGCAACTTCATAAGTGGGTATATCATAAATCAATAAAACAACCATACCCGCGTTTTGTTTACTTTTGTGGTTTTTATTTAACAATAATCAGTTTAGTCGAAATTTGACAGTCTCGCCCTTTGTTTGTGTGACGGATACATTTCATTTAAAACGTTGTGATACAATTTCTTCGAATAAAACCGAGGTGTTGGAGTGCCGTGATTCAATTTACACCAAAAAAAATGCCATTGGACGCAGCTGGAGCAGCCAGGGCAGTAGCACTTGCAGACGCTGGGTTTAGCCAGCGTCGGATTGGACGGATGCTTGGATATCCACGAACCACTATTCAAGATGCTATCCGGCGTTACAGAGAGACTGGTTCCTACACAAGAAGGCCAGGGCAAGGTCGTAGAAGGTGTACATCAGAGAGAGATGATCGTTACATCGTCTCGAACGTTTTACGAAATCGGTTCACAACGGCTTCTGAGGCTCGTGACCGCTTGTTTGAGGTACGAAATGTAAGTGTGAGCCTAAGAACAATAAGAAGAAGGTTAGCTGAGAGGGACCTGAAAGCATTTCGACCAGTTCGAGTCCCAGATCTGACCACAGCTCACAGAAGAGCGAGACTTGCATTTGCTCGAGAACATTTAAATTGGACTTCGGAACAATGGAAGGCAGTTCTCTTCTCTGATGAGTCAAGAATCGCTTTACGAGGTCCTGATGGACGTCAGCGCGTGTATAGGCGCCGCGGTGAAAGGTTTGCTGAATGTGCTGTGGTTGGAACCGTGGGCTACGAGGGAGGCTCGATAATGGTGTGGGGTGGCATTTCTTACGACGCCCGTACAGAGTTGGTCATCTTCGATAGAGGCAGCGTTAATGCTCACAGGTACGTGACAGAAATCCTAGAACCATATGTGATTCCTTTTGCACCATTCATTGGCGATAATTTTGTTTTAATGCACGACAACGCTCGTGCACACACTGCGAGAATTGTCACCGATTACTTGGACGACGTCAATATTCAACGTTTACCATGGCCAGCTCGCAGTCCTGACCTGAACCCAATAGAGCATGTATGGGACAACTTAAAAAGACGGATCCGGAGTCGTACACCAGCTCCGAGGACCATCAGTGAGCTGAAAACTGCAGCTGTTGAGGAGTGGGAGAACATTCCCCAAAGCGACATCCAAGACATAATGGACGGGCTTCCTAATCGGTTACAAGAGGTCATTAGGGCCAGAGGAGGAAATACACATTATTAATCCGATAATTTACAGCACACTTTTTTAAAAGTGCCCTTTTGTAAATTTTATTTTTTGTTAAGAAAACTGTATATTCTGTTTTTTTTTTAATTTTGTCTCAATTAAACCATTTCTCAACATACACATGTTTTATTTGTCTTCGTATAGGTTCACCCAATGTAATATTATAACAAAATAAATTAAATTACCATAGAATTTTGAAGAAATCGAAAAAATGTAGGTGGCCGGTTAAATGTGCCCCTGAGTGTACATGTAAGAAGGTTAATAGTGTACAAGTCGGTTATAAAAAAAAAACATCAACGTATTTGCTTTTTCTAGGCCAGCCCCTTGATTTGGATAAACATATATCCCGCACCCATATGGATTTCAACTTATCTCATATAGCTTTAGAACTTATAAAACTACGAAACATTTTAACTAATCTCTAAAAAAATATCGGACTCAGTTTTACTACGATTTTTTCCATTCTGCATAAGTACATAAGGCTTAAGAGGTCGTGTGTGGTGATTTAGGTAAAGTTTCTGATACATAATTCAATTTTTTTTCGAATAGATTTATATGACATTGTATGTCTATAGTCCATGTATCGTAGGACACAGCGATTTTAGTGAGTCTTGATTTTTTTTATGTACAATGTTTCCAAGGTGTTAATAAATAATTAAATACACAGGAATAGGGCAACTATTATGATTAAAGTAAAATTTTCATTATTACAACGTTAAAGCCTTAAGACTTAGTAGGTAGTTTAGTAATTTATGGAAAAAAGGCTATGGTAAGCATGCATATAATTTGTCTCAAATTATTTTGAGTGGTTTCCGAAGAGCTTTTATTAATAGCATGTCTCGTTCCTATAAATTGTTAAAGTATTTTAAACATTTTTCAATAATATTAAATAAATTATTTTATAATTAGGTGCTATTGTGAAAACCTCGACCCAGGTGATGCATTATATTGATGAGAAATTAAAAAATATATTAACATTAAAACCGCAATGTGCGTTAAATACAGCTAGCGCCATCTAGTGTTAGTATCAGAAGCTGCGCAGCCATTGGACGTAGTCCATTGTTCTGAGATCGTAGTACCTGTCTACTTTAAAATAGTGAATTCTTCAGTTAAAGGGTTTTTTACCTTTCTCAATAATAGAGGGGAGTTATTTCTAGAATTCTAAAAACAGAGAAGGCTACCAAACGAATGAATACAAACAAATTATAAAATAATATTTATCTACTTCTGGTAATCATTCAAAATATATATAAATTTCAAGATTCCAAGGTTTGGATATTTATGATGCAGATATCTTATTTATTAATAGTTAATTAATACGTAGGTATTGGAAATTAATTGATTTTATAGTCCCCGCAGCACAAGTAAATATAGTTTTGGTTTGAACATAAAGCTTAGATTACCTCCTATTTATCTGTTATTTTATAAATTAGTTGCCACACTAGTGCCAACGTAAAAGTACTACGTGACTACGTTGGATAATTAGAATTATTATACCGAATACTAACTGTAAAAGTATACTTATGACAATCAGAATGTTAAAAAAAATTAAAGCGTTTGATCTCATTTGATCAAAACCAGTACCTATTTTATCAAAAATATATCGATAGATCATTTTGAAATTTTGATTCCTTAGAAGAAATTTCGTGAAATGTCTTTTTTATCCCAATGAATTCATATAGGTATTAAAAGATATAAATATGCGCCATCTACTGGATCCACTATAAACCAAAACTTACACAAACGCCACAACTTGGTTTTGAAATCATCCCACAGCTGTTCGAATTAAAATTTCTTTACTCTAACGCAAGAGATGGCGCCACATATGTTGAATACACATTGACTATGTAATTAAATTATTATGGCCTACGCTAGCTTTTATGATCGTTTCATATTCATGGGTGTATGATAGGGATCTTTTTATAAACAGTGTATGTTTGAATTCTTTAACAAACTGTTGATATTGTAACTTGCACTCGCTCGTGTTCTGTGTAGGAACTACTTAGTACTACGAGTATTTTTCGATAACCGTGCAGTCCAGAACGATTTGTGCATTGCAGTAATCATAAATATGTAGATTACACTTCAAATTTTTAAATTAAGAACTTAGAATATTGTTTGTTTTTTATTTATTTTATGCCAGTCGCATTTAATGTTAAAAGATGACATGTCTTTATCTGTACACTATATCGATTATGAAATAGAATAATCGAGACTTTCCGATTTTTTATTATTTTACTAAAATACAAATGGTAGGTGTTCGTAGTTCAGCCCGTCCAAAGAGAATCATCAAATCTATAGCTAAGTTCATATAGACACTGAGGTAGTCAGATACCTACATAAGTAAATGTAAACTCAATGTAACATGATTTGGAATAGCTAATTAGAGCAATTAGATGACAGTTGATTGAGTTAGTACTTCTCAAAGTACTAGATAATGTTCCATTGAAAAATAAATGAAGTAAATTAAAACTTGGCTGGAAATGTTGAATAACAATAGTTGTTCTTATCGACTTGTGTTAGTCGTAAAAGTTCCCTAACGCCGATAAGATGTCCACATCTGTTTACTTTTTTATTTAAATACCGTATCACGATTACTGGTATATTATTCAAGAGAAGAACGTGCTGACTCCTTTTTTAAAAGCCGGCAACGTGCCGGTATCTCTTCTGGTATTGCAGGTATCCATGGGCAGCGCTGATCGCTGACCATCAGGTGATCCGTCTGCTCGTGATCTGATGAGATGCTCTTGTTCCCTATAGGCCTGCAGGCCTTTTAGGATTTAACTCCTCCAGTGATTTGGTAGTCTATGAACGGCAATTGTTTGCCATTACCTTATCCATTTACCATGTGGGTCAAATAATACAAACGAGAATGTTTCTAAGTATTTACATATAGATGTACGGACTAATTGGTGTTTGATACTCATTAACGTAAAAACTACAGAATAGATTTTGATAAATATTGGCATATCCTACATAAAGATTATAGTCTTGAAAAACACAGACAAATTTCCTGGTGATTATAATAAATCATAATTATGAATTATCATGCCATGTTTGTTAAAGTTGAAAAGGCAAACAAAAGGTGAATCCGCTGGCAGAAGCTAGTGAGTTTTTAAATAATATATTCTATTACTATAAACTAGAAAAAATACACAATTATGTAGATACTTTTTTATATGATGGGGCCTGAAACTTATAGACAGACTA